GACAGAGCAACGAGGGAGAGCCTTTACTCACAGCGTGGGTGAATCCATTAAATCCTCCCACAGAACCGTTCTCCTGGCCTTGTTGTGGCTGTTCTCGGCCATGGGGGTGTCGGAGTTCAGTCCCTGGCAGGAACCACAGCAGGCAGGGCCGGGCTCCCTCCGGACCTCTCTAACACCGTTGTGCGTTTGGTTTTTTTGGCTTTTTTAACATTTATTATTGCAGTGTTTGCGTCTTCTGCCATCGTGTGGCCATCGGAGGATAAAGCGCTGTCAATAAAAAACAGGCAATCGGCTTTCCGTGTCTTCCAAATATCGCACGGATTTTATAACATCCTATGTAGTACGAAGTCAGTGGAGATGCATTAATTCTCACCAAGTCCCTCCCGCCGCTGGACAGGTACTACAGGTTTGTCTTGAGCCTGAAGTAGGTGTCGTTAACCAAGCGTGTGGGTTGGCAGCTCATTTACTGCCAGGGCATCATCACCTGCCCATTGGCTTGGTGCTCCTCACAGCGGGCAGGAGGACCGGGAGAAGGCAGGGCAAACCCATTGCTGAGGCACCCTGACAGCCAGGGCAGGGCGGTCATGCTCAGCGCTGCTCAGTCCCAGCACAGCAGGACTGGGATTGTTTGTCTGGCCAGAGGCAGGGCTCTGTTGTGAGCCACAGGTTCATCGCAGCCCAAAAAACAAACACAGAAAACCCCCACAAAGTCACCCCAAGCCTCTCCCAGAGCTGCACTGTGCGTGGAGGGTGAGCTCTAAGATGAGCACTTGGGTAGCAGGCAGGATTTATGCAGGTCAGGTATTTGGGATACAGTCTTGCTAAACTCAGCTGCACTGAAATCAAAGTGCAGTTTAAGGAGGTGAAAGATCTCTCACAGGCAAGGCCTGAGCTCTGATTGCTTCAGCTGGCTTTCAAACGAAAAGATTTGGTTAATAAATTGGCTCTTGATCCCACACCCAGAGATATCCTGTAGCAGAAGCCCCAATTAATACACTGATAGGCTTCCTCAAGAGGCACTTTGTCCTTATATTGTGAAATCACCTGTTCAAATATGCAGCAACTTACAGGGTGACAATCTATGAAAGAGAACACTAATTTTAGTTAACAAAATTCCCCTTTTTAAAAAGAAGACTTTCTTTTTCAGAAGAGGGGAAAACCAACATGTATATTTGGTACATGACATGACTAATTTATGTACTCAGACTCCAGCACATTTCCTGGTGCCCCAAGACAAACCTATCTGCTAAATAAATTTGATTATATCCTTCTTCCTTCTGCCAGCAATGATGTCTCCAACAAGGCTCCTTTAACCTAGAAAGGGAAAGTTTTCATAGTTTCTCATTTTCCAGTCCTTTGTCCTCTCCCTCCTTACAAAGTATTAACAGCTTCCTTCTGGCCATCAAAAGAAGCTTAGGGAGTTATTGTCAATATGAATTCGCCCTTGTTTTTTCAGTATATATGACAGTAAACACTCCAGATCTCATTTTTGGTGTAACACAACAGAATGTCTACAACAGGTAACAAAGCACCCAAAAGAAACTCTGTGCATGGCTGCTCATTATTCAACATATTGAGAGCTGCCTGTTACCACATATATTGCAATATTTTGAATTATCTCTGAAATCCCCTGGACCCTGGTGTGCTCATCTAATAAAAGCTGAGCCACTTCCCAACACTCACTTTTTCACTGGGAAACTTCCACAAGAAGTGCTGGCACCCAGCCCACCCAGGTTAGTCACAGGGTAGAACCTGCAAGCAGGAGAAAGTGTACATAGCAACGAGCTGCTCAAGTACAAAACCACCCACCCCAGGCTTTTATCAACCCTAACACCCATTCCAGGGTTTAAAATCCACTTACCTGCTTTACACGTGTTTATTTAGGTCTGTGCATACTACAGCAGCTTTCAGACAGCAGTGGAACACAGGTCAGAGCCCACACCTCAGCAGTGCCTCCCACAGCAAAGCCAAGGGGCTGCTCTGCTGGGCTAAGAGATTTGTTGTAATTAATTTTTGTACCTTTTTCACAAAGCAGGGAGGGCAGAGCTCCATGTGAGCCCCTCACCAGCCCAGACCCCAGGCTCTGTACCCAGGACTCCTCTCCCCTTTCCCTGGCTGTTTATGTGCCCCAGGGTGTTGTTGTTCATATTTCTGTTATCACATTTCCAGAG